TTAAGAGGGTTAGGCCTACCCTAAAATTAAGGAACGCTCGACCTCGACACGTGACATCGAAATGGGCGAAATCGCCTCTTGATATCACTAACTCTCCTGACTCCTGACTCCTGAACAGGGCGCTTCAAATCACAAGCTGCATGGCTCCATCCATCATCAGTGTCGGTTTCCACTGACCCTTCCATATTTCCCTTGGTGTCTATAGATCAGTCACATTGATGCACAGATGATGGAGAAAGGGTGAATGGTAATGAAAAACCTCAGTATCATCAAGATTCCTGTCGCCAGGCAACGTTATTCCCAAAAACAAAAGGATTATAGAATGGAAGAGCTCCTTGTAAACCTAAGCCGAGGGTATGTCACGGCATACGAGACAATCAGACCCACAAGGGCCTAACGTTATGCGGCGAACTACTTGAAAAGGCCGCGTTCATGATTATTGATTTAACCTCAAATCTCAGTGATCTAGCCCATGCCTCGTTGGCAAATATGGAATGTATTTGTACAGAAGAGCCGATGAGAGGAGAATATCAGCTGGTAGGCCTTTCGGCTCATCGGAACCGACTCCTCAGGCTACTCACGTGTCGCGCTCCTGCACTCGAGGACAGGCATGCTGTGACGTCACGTAGTGACGTAGGAGGTGTGTTCTGCTCCTGAGTTGCGAAGCGGTGAGTCTGTTTCGCACTAGCAGGCACTCAGCCTCGCGACTCCCATCGTTGGCATATGGGATCCTCTCCTCAAAAGCGTTTTTCTTTCACTGATGGAAACCTGCGTGTTCCATTGCCCTTCGGAGACGATTACACCCTCTTTTTGGGTTATTCCCTCTCAACACATTCAAGGAAATGATCCATGGATATCACAGGTGTCGCGGCCGTAATACAACCTCGGATGAAGCGGCTCTAATTACAACATGGAATGGAATGTTGATAGTGTGAATATGATAAATGCTGAAGACAGAATCTTGCACCTTCCTGTATAGCGAAAAAAACCTTACGCTGACAACAGACTGCTAAAGGAACCTTAACAGAGTACTAAGAAGAAAAGTTCGCGAAAGGAAAAAAAAAAAAGCAGCTGACAATTGTGGTGTTAACAAGTGATAGCATAGTGCAAATGGGTCCTACAATGCCTTCTTCCAGTTTCTTTCCCTTGGTGTGAGGATCTCTCAATCCTGTTGAAAAAAGAAGGGCAATGAAAAAAATGAAGGGAAGCAAAGATCACCATTTGTCAAATCCCTGCAATCGGTTTAGAGAGGAAAGGGGAGACATCAAGCTGGCAACACCTTGCGTTATTATTTAGAAGTTGAAAAGCACACAAAAATGGTTTTTCTATTAATATTATCTCATGGAGAGGGCCACAGCAGGAAATTCTAAATGCCACACCCCAAGGAACCAGCTAAATATGAAAATGTTTTGTGCAGTAAGGAAGCATTGAGACTTTCAGGCCTAAACCAGTCATATGGTGTCCTACTCCCATTACACATTAAAATTGTCAGTCTTGAAAGTGTTAGGATTCCTGCATCATATGCTAAGGTGCATATAATGCACAGTAATAACTCTCATGATCCTGACTTATTGTAAAAGAAAAGAGTACAGGTTTTTGGTACCATGACACAATTTTATTTCGAAGATCCAGAAAACAGAAGAATTCATAAACAAACCTTCAAAATAGTTCACTGCAACAACAAATAGTAGTGGAATGGCTCTCCTTCATATCACTTAATGTTATCACTAGGCTACTGTGATTACCGGTGATACACGACTTATATTAGCCATACCATACATTCGAAACAAGCAAATTTTTTTTCAACAACAAATAGTAGTGGAATGGCTCTCCTTCATATCACTTAATGTTATCACTAGGCTACTGTGATTACCGGTGATACACGACTTATATTAGCCATACCATACATTCGAAACAAGCAAATTTTTTTTCCTGCAGAAACAAAAGTTTAAAGCCCAGAATCAGTGGAAGACATAACAGCTTCTCTAAGTAAGATTCCAGTGAATATTTATGCAAAGACATAAACTGATCAATTCCGGGGATAATTGCAGGCATGTGCCAAAAAGGACCTGACTTTCTATGTCGGGGGTGGGGGCGCATCTTGATCGGTGCTCTCGGTCAGATCCTCATCAGCATCGCGTCTCATAGAGTCCACTCCTCCCAATGTACCTCACCCATTTGATCACGTCATGGTCAGAGTAGTTCAGCTTTGGCTCAAATACCTTCAAATAGCGCACCTTGAAGCCCGACGGTGCATACGGAACCTGCGAATTTCAAGGACATAGATGAAGGCTTGCTTTAAAATGAGTGAGAGTCTGCCAAGAGGAATAGCTCATTCATGAACAAATTGGATACTGAAATAAATTTAGCATTTTGCATTAAATTGCAATAATTTTGAGAAGCAAGACTGATGCAGTTTGGTTTTAATTTTACAAATGGCATTGAAAAAGGAGAAAAATGTTGAATCCACAAGAGGCACCTAGACTCCATAAAAGTCAGTCAAGCCAGGCATGAAACCATAAGTGAATGGGCAGCAAAACGGAATCAGTTCAATCTCATTCTCAATGACTGAAAATGAAAAGTTATGAAACCAAATTAGCTTCTGTACCTGCCAAATCTTCCTTTAGCTCATCAAAACATTTTTTCTATTACTTGCCGCTATTGAAATGTGAAAGTTCTTCTATGTAACAAAGACAGTGACACTGTTAGCATCCAATTCATTTTTTAAAACACTGGATAGGCAAAACTATCTCTTCTGAGTATCAATAGAAAATTAAGGCTGAATGAAGGCCTGGAGTGCTAGCCTACCTCGAAGTTCATGGAGATTGGTGGGCGGTTCCACTTCTTTTTGGAATCAGTCTGCAAGAGATCAATCTCGGCTGATATCTGTGACTCCTTCATCCCAGCCATCCTTTTGATCCTGAAATAATTCATCAGTTATGTTCAGATTGCTGTGCCAAGAGCATAGCAAAACCCAAAATAAATAGATGAGACAAAACTTTGTCCAATATCAACCTCTTCGAATGGCTCTTTAAACAAAAATAATGAGCAAATGTAAGTGAATAATGCAAAAGTATGTGCATTGGTACTGAAATGAATGTCTCAAGGAGGAATGCTCCAAGCTAGAGACTCAGGATGCATGTGTCCACAACTTTCCTTTCATCCATTCATTCCTTTAGGCAAAGATTCCTAACTTCATAAACAGACTTGGCCTACTTCCCAACCCATACATTTATGACACCTCAGCCTATGGATATAGCAATGTTTCTCATTTCCTGAAACATCCCAAGTGGGTTTAAAATGTAACTTTTTGAAAGGAAATTTGTACTTGGTCATGCCTGGTCTGAAAGTTACACCAACGCCCAAATCCATCAAACACCTTATACACTCAGTAAATAATTGGAGTTATAAGCCTCACATAAGAATGATCTTACACAAATGGTTTCAAAAGACCACTTTAAAACAAAAGCAACTCTCAAAACTTTCCAACAGTTTCTAAAACATGCAACCATCCATTCAATTTCAGAAGGAACCAATCATCCAGTCATTACACATGGAAACTGGATAGAAATATAGAGGTTTTCCACAAAAAAATAATTAGAAAAATAGTGATCCTCACTTCCAGACAATAGCATTGTCAGAGGCCTTGTACTTGGCCTTGCCCTTCATGCAGATGAGCTGGACACCAGATGTGTTCAGCGGAGTTGGTATGCGAACTTCAATCTTCTGTGCCAGGAGTGTCGCCTTGAAGTTTGACTTCAACACCACCTTTCATCAAATCAACATCCATCATGCGATAACTAATAATAATAGAAATGGAGCCAGTAAGAGCAATGGAGAAGACCCATCCAGAAGAAATTAGGAAAAAAAGACTATTTTTTCCTATTTGAGCTTTTTTTTTTTTTACCAATCAGAAGTAAATTAGGTTCGTAGGCACAAAGATCGGACCATACTCATGACACAGAAAACAGAATGTGTAGAGCATCATGTGCTTTGTGCATATCTTCTTCCCTTGAGTCCTGATATGGAATCTCTATAAAACATGATATGCACAAACAAGCAGAGGTGACAATTTTGGTTCAGACAACAACCAAATGGGAATCTGAATCAAGCTTATGACCAGGTTCAAGTTCAGCCTGCAGCATTGATGGCTTTCTTCTGATCTGGCATACCTCTCAGCTTCTTTCATGCATTCTCTTATTTCTGGGTTTAAGCATATGCTACCCTATGCATCTTGGTGTGAGAGACAAGAGCAGGTGCTACCTCCAATATCATCAGTTACAGGAGGCATAAATGTGCAGTCATGGAGAGTTAAAGGAGAGCTAAATCTATACAGGCTTACTTCACTTCATGCAGGTTTTTTAATACACAAATTCATACTTGCATGTTTTTTTTTAATACCAAAAATTCAATCAACTCAAGATCTGCGTACCAACCCTGTGTTTCCAAATTTTTGGTAGCAAAAAAAAAAATTGTGCAAGTGTGAATCCTTTAAAATGAAAACATGTAAAGCAAGGGAAGCCTGAAGTGGCACTGTAGCTACCTTGCTTTGCATTGTACCTCTTGTTTTATTCTTTTCTGGCAAGTGATGACTGCTAAATAAACAAAAGACAAGGAGAGTGGAGTTATGATATGTTCAATTATCATGTGTACTGCAAATTGAAGTGTTTCCCTTTTAATGGCAAATGATTAGAACATTTACTATAATTCACCCCATGGTCAGTGACTTTTGCACCACCATGTATATAAAAAAGAGGTCTGCAAATAACCTGCTGCTGATAAGCACAGCAGATAATTGATCTTCACCATGAAGCTAACATTTTCCTTTCAACTCTTTAACTACTCATAAGAAAATATTGCAGGGAAGCACTTTGCAACAATTGCAGAATTTTACAATAAAATGAAAATCCACCAAAACTAGCGTTTGCACGGGAAGTCAAAACAGAAATGTTTACATCCCCAATGAAGCAAGATTTTTCAGACACCTTTGCAAAGTAGTCAAAGTCATGGAAGTATAATGATTGATGACAGAATTAGATGAAGGAAGTGTTCATACCTTTACTTCCAGTCGGGACCGGCCGACCTCACGGACCAAGGGGATAATACGGAATGGGAGTGAGATGTCCTTGGTGATGCGGTACCTACCAAATATATATTGGATTGGGTGCATGAAGTTGAGGAATGAATAAAATAAAAAAACAGCAAGACAATTACATGGCAGGAAAAGGGATGATGGGTTTGGCCAACGTGAAGATAGAGCTTTGCTTGGCATGAGAGTTACAACCAATGTTGAGAGTTACAACATCCATCCACAAATCACTAAGATCGACTAAGCACATAAGGGAAATTCTCGACAAGAGTAGATGAAGAAAAAAATTAAACATCTGAAAATGACCACCTTTTGAATAGAAAGTGAGACCTGGATTACATACATGATTTCATTTGCACATACAATTCCCAACTACATATTTTTTTAAATTCTTTGGAAAAAGCCAGAAAACATCAGCATTTACTTAATATGAAGACTAAGGGCTGAATGCCAAAACCTCCTAGAGTTAATTGTCCTTTAAAAATACAAGGATACCTATGGCAGAAAAGGAACCCTTTAGCCTCTTTCTATCCTCTAAATGAAGTTTGTGCATTTGGGCCTATAGAGTTTTGCCTCATTAGAAGCAACACTAACTTCAGGAGGAACACTTCTTTCTTTCCAGCTAGATTGTTGGTGAATAGACTAAACCAAGTGGCACATATGTTAAAGCCTGAATATAGAAATAATGAAAGCCAGAAGGCCTCACCTCATGAGTTCAAATTCTCCATCTGGTGGGATGAAGCTGATAGAGTGCTCGCTCTCAAACTTGGACAATTTCACACACTGGTGGAACTGGCAGTCATCGATGGCAATGGAGGTTTTCCCTGCCCGGGAGGGGTCATCCGTCGTCGTGCTCTTCCCCTTGGCCTCCAGCATGATCTTGTCATTGATGCCGAACTTGCACTCGGGCATCCCTGATAAGTAGGACTTCATCACCACCTTCCCGGCCACATGCGACGACAGAACTTGACCTAGTCAATGACCCAGAATTTCATTACCATCACACATATATCTGGCATTTCAATATCAGATAATCATTTTCATGAGTGAAGAAATAGCTTTTTAAATCAATCAACAATGGTTCTCCTGAATTCCTATTTTCTTACTACTAGGCCTATCCTCTTATTTCAAACAATGCCAGGCAGGAAAAGCTTGTTAGTTTAACATTTCCACCATAGTCTGGTCATTTTCTTTCTTGTAAATGACTGGGTCACAAATGCACTAGCTCATTTTCCTAAACCTAACACATGGGTACATAAGCCAAAGAACACAGAGGACTTCTTAATGCAGACAACCACTTATCCAATTATTCCCAAGAGAGGGTGCTGCATCTAAGTCTTGCTGGATGTGATAGGATGGATATCAAATGAAAGTGAGGCAGGGTGCTCAGGATCCATAGAGAATGATTGCTCACTTCCATTTGACTAGCCCTTATACTTCCATGGATTGTCAGCCAAATGGTTTGTCTTACATGTACATGATGGGAACTCACTCACCAAAGCATAGATTATTTAGTGAAACAGAAAAGTACACTTAATGCATAGGCAAAGGCAGAAAGTCAATGTTCAGAATGCTGACACTAGCAATTCAACTAAACTAACATTTTTGCCTAGATGTCCATATGAACTGTTCTAATTACAGGACAGAGTGATAGAATAGAAGCAAAGGTTTGGGAATTTCAAATGGAGTCAGGCCTGATACTTGGAACTCATAAATTAGCAAAGACAATCATACAAAATTTCAAGGCCCAATAAGGTAGGCACATGTATGCAAATTAATTTTTTGAAAGCTACAATCAGCCATAACCATATCCATGGCTATGACCAGAAATATCCATGTTGAAAAGGCTGACAAGGGGCATATTCTAACTATTTTCAAGGAAAGAGCAGAGACCTTGGGCAGACATTAGAAGATTGACATATTCCAGGACATCAAGGAACAGTTCATTCCGCCTGTACTTGATTCCCTCACGTCTCCAGCCAATTTGTCCAGTCACCTGCCATGTAAAAACCAAGGAATTTCAGTAAATCAAAGATTCTTGGATAACCTTCAACTTTGAATATTCCTGCATGAAATCAAATAACTGCATATATCAAAGAGGATCAAAACAAGGCATATACCCAATGTGGCAAATCTCACCTGAGAAGTGATCTGAGCTTGTTCCTCTTTTGACTGAGATTTGATTCCCTGTTGAGTGATGAATGTCTTTAGGGCACCAGTGTCTGTGTTCTGAGGATATCCATAATCCAAAAGTTCTGAAGAAAAATGAAAGCATTTGTCAGGTGTGCATTTCATGTCTTCCCACTCTTACAAATTTTGCACCGACAACCCTTCCATAATCTACTCACCATCCAGAAGTTCATAAATGAGGACAAAGTTGTTCTTCACATTCTCTTCTGTCACCTTTCCAAAATATGCTTGCATGAGATCCACCATCTTGTAAAGGAACTCAAACACCATTCCAGCATTGACATTTTGCTTGGTCACTGCAGCCAACCAAATGTTTGCTCTCTGAAAATTCAAATGGAAACAGCACAATTCAGAAGAGAACTGTGACCACACAATACTCACTGCATTTGGGTCATGAAATTATAGCTAATAAATGTGAGGGATACATATTCATGAAAAGATAGTGGTTTAGGACTGGGTTCAGAGAAAATGTTGCACTAAACCTATACACACTCCCTGTCAGAGAAAGCAGAAAAAAAGAATAACTGGTAAAATAAGGATCATATATAGAAACGATAAAAGAAGCCATTACAAGTTTGCAGAGAGTGAATTAAGGTCAAATAGAGGGCTTGATAGACTTCTTATAGTACATATTTTGAATAGTTGAGGTTGGAAATGACAAAGGGATATCCTAGAATTACCCTGTCTCAGTTAAGAAAAACCTCTTTCCCTCTTCCCCAACCTCCAAGGCAAGGTGAGAAAAAAAAAATTTTTTTCTTAACCGAGCCAGGATTAAACTAATAAATACATTAGGTATAATTTTTTTGATAAAAATAGCTGATGCAAAAGGGGAGGCCTGGAACACATTTCACATTTATTCTACAGATTTTTTAGGGAGCTGGTGGAAACAGCATCATGGAGCAGTGCCATTCTATTTCTGTTAACACTGAAATCCATGGTGAACTGCAATGAAAATTAATGAAAGGTACCCATGTTTCAATAGGATTTATTCGTTACACAAGTAGAGAATGTTCAGCCAGATGGGAAGAGCTACATTCTTTCATCAGTTCTCAAGAGGCATCCAGTTCAAGCTCCTCCAAAGCATAGGGTATGAAGGGGAGGCATATTTGCCAATTTTAAGGGTGCAGCATGTAGTTATCTCTCTGTATACTAACATTCATCATTGAGTTTTGACGTGTAAGGTCTTCGGGCTGGGGTATAAAAATCTAGGTTGGGCAAACTAATCCAATGTATACATTATGAAGACTGAATATCACAATCTCTAAAAGTAAGGCAGAACACCCAAAGGATGTGTCAAAATTCATAGCATATTGAATGTATGTGATCTTTCAGAAGTGGTTAGTAATTAGAATTCAGTTGCCTACAGGGCTTGGATTTGAAGAGATTTACACCAAATTTAAAGTGCAGGTAAAATAAGGCTGTAACATAGTTTGAAAAATATAAGACAACATGAGATTGGAGAAGTTCATGGAAGCAAAATTGGTTCTACACTAAAACTTTAGTTTCAAACGGTTGACCTGGAGACAGGCCTCATCTAAGAAGTTTCTATTGGTCTCGATGAGTCATTGTTGTAGTGGAACTTAAAACTAAGCCTTGTGGCACTCTAGAGAGAACATTGACTGTATGAGAGATCCTATATGAGAATGAAACATATTCAGAATGGCCAATCTGGAGGGACTCGATTTGTTTGAGAGAGGACCCAACATACGAAGGGGCAGTCTAATGAAAATGGGACATGTGTGTTAGAAGCAATGACCAAGAATGTCCCAGTTTCCTTTGACTGCCTATTGAATATCATAAAGATTACCTTGTCTCATGTGCAAGATGACATGAGATAGTTTGTCATAAACCTTGAAAAAAGCTAGAGTGCACATATCAATCCTGTAAACAATCTGGTCATCATAGGCTAATGAGATGCAATGATAGTGAAAACCTAATATATCTAAGGCAGATTGGCCTGATGTGAATCCAAACAGGAGGTCATGTATGAGGCCTTGAACTAGGAAATCAGCCACACATTCAAGGCCGTATTTAGGGGGGGGGGGGTTCATGGGGTTCAAACCCCCCCCCCCCCCCCCCACA